TTTTTTTTTTATGTGGAACTGATATTAAAGTTGGACGTTATTGCAATATGGAGAGCGGGCTGAGGCTGCAATAAGCCTCAGAGTCAGAGATCTATTAGCCTCCGTCTGCTCGTGAGGGAAGGCTTGTTCCAGCGTCACGTTTTTAAAGGATCAAGCTGGGCAGAGTGAAAAGGGGGAATAAAATAACTTTCCGGGAGGAGTTCAAAGGTGCGCGGCAGCTGTCTAACGGCGGCCCTTCATGTGCGCGGACCACCGGGGGCCACCGTCACATCAAACGGCTCCAACCGGGGGAACATGATGTGCAATCCGGCGTTGGGTCTCAGCACCACGTGGCTGTCTGACACCCAACAGCAGCCCACCGATAATCACAACTAAGAGCCCCCCCACCCCACCCCCAAAACCCCCAAATCTGCAATATGATGGGATGCGTCTTACCAGATTATCCAACTCTGGATTCGATGAAAATAAAGGTTTTTCTGCCCGAATCTAAAAGCAAAACAAAAGAAAAAAATACATTTCAGAGAACTTGGGAGTTCAACACGTTTTACGGCCACAAATGACAAAAGGAACTATAGGCTCAGAAACTTTAGGTTGAATTTTAACGTCTGAAAATGACCTGTGCTGGATCAGCCTGTGTGTGTGTGCGCGTGAGTGTGTGTGTGTGAGTGTGTGTGTGTGTGTGTGAGTGTGTGTGTTGTCTGGTCCAGCTCCGGACGTGGAGCAGTTAGGAGTTGGGAGCTGGGAAACTTTCCTGACCTGTTTCGCAAACACCGCTATGTCTTCATTGAACGATTCCGACGAGCAGACGTCTCCTCCCGCCACCCCGGGCTCCCTGGGGGTGCACGTGGCTAATTCACATTTCTCAAAAATCAGTGCAAGCAAGGGGAACAGGGGGTGCCTGCATGGGAACACACGCACACACAAACACACACACACACGCACACAAACACAGCAAATGTCAGCAGAGAGAACAGAGGCCGGGGTCAGCGCGGCTCCGGACCAGATTTGGCCGGCCGTGCTGACCCCTCCACAGCCCGCCCGTGGGGACCGGGGCTGCCGGAGGATCCGGCGGGGGGCTCGGGGGCTCTGAGGCCCGGAGGAGGGCAGCCCACAGCGGGGAGGACCGCCGGGAATTACACCTAAGTCGCGCCTAATAGCACGAAAGCCCTAAGAGTCTGTCAAACGACTTCTTCCACAAAGTCTAACGTTTGGATCACAGGCGTACGCGCGCGTGTCTGTGAGTCTGTGTGTGCGTGCGTGTGTGTGGAAAAGTGTGTGTTTGGGTTTAGAAAAAATATATAAAAACGCTAAACAAAAACAACAACGTAAAAAAAACTTGGAGGCGTCTGAACCTGAACTCGTTTGTTTACTATTTATGGCTGGAGTTCTCAGAGTGATTGGATTTGCTGGAGACTGCAGAGTGCGAGGGGAAAAGATGTGGAAACGGTTATTGCTTAAGTTCAATCACCCCGAAAACACCGTTCTTTGTTTGGTTTTTAATTAACTCCCACAAAATTAATAAGCCATGCGCATTTGTGGGATTTACTTTAATTACGGTTAATTTTACGAGAATGGAGCCTGGAAAAAGAGCAGAAATTCTTTTTTTCCTCGTCATAAAAGATTAGCCCTTCAAACAAAACTATAGAAGCCGAATTATTGTATTTTTCTGTCAAATTAAACGACAAAGTAAAGTGGACGTTTGTCTCATAATTTAAAAAAAAGGGTCAGAAGTTGACCCACTGGGCAGAAATGACCTCCTCGTGGCGTCCCTCAGCGTCAAGTGCTTCTTTTTTACCGGTCAACTATTTCAACTTATTTAATCATGGAGAAACAAGTAGCAAACACGGTGACTTTAGAAGGGGTTTCAAATTTTAATTCTGCTAAAATAAAAGATCTCAGAGAACTCATCCAGTCTGTGGGACACTTTGGGCTTCTGACTCTGTCTGCCCGGTGCCGACTGCCTCTGCCCCCCCCCCTAACCCCACCACCACCACCACCACCAGCCCTCCTCCATCCGGCCCGTCCGGGCCCCGGACGCGTCCCCGGGGATGGTGGGGGGAGACTCTTTACGCGGCACCGGCGGCGCGCACCTACCCGTAAATGGCGTCTTTATCTCTCTTGAGGGCGTCGTTGACGGAGGAGCCCATGCTGGGCGGCATGGTGTTGGTGTGCGCGGTGTGCGGGTACTGGTGGGAGTGCAGCTGGGGGCCGTGGTTGAGGTGCACCGCCTGCATGGAGCGGGCCCCGTGCGGGTCTCCGTACATGGTGGTCGGGATGCCCACCCCGTCCATCCCGTAGTGGGGCAAGTCTTCGTACTGCGCACACAACACAACACAACACAACACAACGTTAACAGACGCGCACCATATAAAAAAAACACACACACACCGAAAAGCAAACTTTGCTGGGAAGCCCCAAGAAACACAACAAAAAAAAAGTAACAGGAATGAAGTCAAAGTTAGCAAGAAGCGAGATTCAGAGTTTTTGTTTCAAATTAAAAACACCGAGAAATTCTGCCCAGAGAGTTTAAGTGTTTGGATAATGTTTATGGACAGCTGATATTTTTCTAAATTTAAATATGTTTCCTGATACCGAGGGCACGAGTTAATACACACACACACACACACACACTAACGCGAGACTCTCCAGGAAAATAAATTAATTTCAGTTGCACGTTTTTACTCGGAAGAAAAAGCTGGAAATAGTTTGGCTGAACGCGCTTTTGCAAAGACAAAAACTACAACAACTCTGAAGTGCAAATGAGTTTTGTTCTCGTCTTATTCCCGGTGACCCCTGCAACCCCGGGGAAAAAAAATACAGATAAATTATTCAATGAGTTGAAAATGACAAGAACCCCAAAAGGGGCTCCTGGGTTTGCGCGTGTTTGATAGCGTGCAGCTGCCGGCTTTTAAAGCAGCAGCTTTTGAGCCGCTTTTTCATGCTGCATTGTGCCTCCTAAACTTGTTAATTGCAGGGCTTTCTCATTTTAAAGGCTCATAACTGGGCCGCGCGTTAATATCCATTAACCTCGACGCGAGTAGTTTGTGCAACAAATGTAAGTCAGGATATGTTTTCCTAACGACGCTCGGCAGGAAATTCTAACTTTTTTTACTTGCTAGTTTTAAATTGAACAACACAGGCTCGTCTTTGACGCCGTTTAGTAGTTTTTTTAAAGCCCTATTGGCTTGTTAAACTCAGAAATGTTTATTGGGGGTCTAAAAAAAAACTAACTAAAAAATACTTAATAATCCCAAAATCCTTGAAATCCTAAATTGAGGTTCGTCTCTTTAGTGAAGTGAAAATATGCCTGAATTATTGATGGTGCTTTCAGGACGTGACAAACAAGTGTCAGGAAGAGAGTAAAATGCATTATCACTTAAAGCTGAGCGTTTCGACCCTAAAGGCAAAGAGGTGCAAACCCCAGCGTGGTGCAGCTTTAGAGCAGATCGGGGCTGAATGGCTCCACTTCCACCGATATCCAGGCTTTCTGCACGGCCAACTACCCGTGTGGAGACCCGGCCGCTTTCCTGGGCCAGTCCCGGTCTACCTTTATGAGTCGAAGCGTTTGTCATCACCTCGTTACCAAAACTACCTCGCTGGCATTCAGATCGTTTTGCATCTTTTCGTAAAATTGCACGGCCGAGTGAGGAAAAACTGGGGCTGGTTTGAGGGGCTTTGCGCACCGATTCTGCATAGAAACTCAATAGAAAAAGTCAACACAGAAAATGTAAGGATTTGTTTTGCCTCCATGCCCTCCCTCCCTCCCCCCCCCTTCATTTCGCTTCCAGTAACTGGCCTGTCATAACTAATCTCAAAAACACAGCCGAGCTCTGCTCGCGCTTCCCGGGTCCCGCGGCGGGACGCGGCCGCGCGTAACACCGTGCCAGCGCACGCCGAACGTCCCACCGCGTCCCCGTGGACCGGGGGAGCCACGGGAGCTTTCGTCCGCGCGTCCGTCCCGCGTGGATCCGCGTGTCATTTTAGCCACGTTACAGCTCAGCCCCGCGTCCGAGCGCGTCGGACTTAAGAGAAACTTTTCTTTTTCTGTTTTATTTTTTTTTGTTGGTGAAGCGGAGCTCTGCGCTACGTACCCGTTGCGCCATAGCCCTCCTCACTCCCTGGTCGTCCTTTCAGTTGAGGTAAATCCCCTCTGAGGCCAGGGTGGACGCGAAAAAGAAAAAGAAACAAAATCCAAACAAACGAGAAGATGTCTCGGCCACACACACAAAAAAAAAAAAAAAAAACCCCGTATGCGCTTTCTTTCTTTCTTTTTTTTTTTTTCTCTCGCTCTCTCCACGGAGCGGTGAAGCCAGCTCCCGCTCTTCGATGCAAGTTTAGCCCCGGCCGCGGCCAATACACGTCCTCGGCTATCCTCGCGGCGCCGGGCTCCTCTTCCACAAAAACCAGGATGGAAATTAAAATTTAAAAAAAAAAAAAGAAGCAGCCCCCTCAGACAAAACTGGCGACTCTCATGGCTTTTCGCCACTCCGCCTGTCAGTCAGAAAAAGCGAAGGGGCTTGTCAAAAGTAGTGGATGAATGATGGTCCGCCGCGCGCCTCCACGGGACCGGCACCACCGGAACGTGAACGCTCACAATCACGGTTGAAAAACCAAGCAGCTCTCCTCTCGTTTTTCTTTGATCACTCTCGGCTCCCGGCTTGATTTTCTTATGCAAAAGCGTCTAGAGGAGATCAAGAGGAGGTGGGGTGATAATTCTGGCTTAGGCTTTCTTAAAGGAGCCACGATCGATGCTGTTGCGTGCGTCTGCGTGAGCGTGTGTGCGTGCGTCTGCGTGAGTGTGTGTGTGTGTGTGTGGATGTGTGCGAGCGTGTCTGGCGTGTGTGTGTGAGTGCGCGTGTGTGCGTGAGCCCGCCTGCCCGTTTTGTGTACAATGGATGTGTGTGTCGAGCTGAGGAGGAGCGGAGGATCTGGACCAGACTGCCGAAACCCGGAAGTAGTGGTGGCCATAACAGGTCGCGTCTTGCACAACGCGCCGGGCTGCAGCAAGTCGCGCGCAGAGGAGGGGTGGGAGGACCCTGAGAGCAGAAAAAAAAGCCACCGGACTCCCCGTCTCATCCTCACACACTGACTTTATTCTCCAGCGTTTTCGGGAATAAACACGCGAGCAGTTCCGAAATCCACTAACTGAGGCAGGTTTCAACGATTATAGGAGCTGTTATCTTTGTGTGTCATAAAGAGCCGTTCCAATCTGGATAAATAAAGTCAGAAGGCTTCGTGTCATTTCCACTTGAGAGAATAGGCCCACGGACTGTGGAGCTGGTGGGCTTTTCTCCGGTAGTTTGATAGTGAGGATAAACTTTAGACAGGCTGCCAGCAGCATGCCTGACCGATATCCACAGAACGCTGCAGCCAAACGGCCACTTTTGCACTTTGTGGGCCCCTGTGCAGCTTCTGGACCTTTACGCAGTTTGCAGCATGAGTACAAACATGTTTGGAACCGCTTTGCGCTTAAAAGTCTCTGGAAAATAACCACCTGATTTGAAAAAAGACGACGCGTAGCATCAGTTATTTCAGAGACATGTACTTCAACTTTATATAAACTGATCCTTTTTTCACAGAATACAAAAGTATGATGTGGAATGTTTGTGACTGTTGGTCCACAAGAAGCTCAGAGCTGGTGGAATAGTTTCTATCTGTTTGTGTTCTGTGTGAATACGCGTTAATGGTGTCCATCCCTCTCCCCCACAGCTGCTCCGAATGGGTCGCTCCAGTCTGCCCGGGCTGTCCAATCGCAGGGAGGCACAGGGATGGGAGCCCCCTATTGGCTCCCCACATGATCGATCCGGGGGTTGATTGATCGGTTTTAGGCCACACTGGCGAGCAGGCGCAAAACAAAACACACACTTTGCACTTCTGGCTGCCTGTGCGGAGTTTAAATCCGCCCGAACGCGGAATATATCTGACCGGGACATCTCTCTCCCCCGTCTGTGCTCCTGCCTGGCGCGCGCCCACACGCACGCGCAGCCGTGCACAAGCACTGAACGCGTACACTTCATTGTCGCATCTGAATTTATTCCCTGGAACAAACTAAGTCATTAACTAAACTTCTCGGAGTGTGCGCGTGTCAGACTTTGTCCAGAAGTCAGAATCAGCTTCTGTCTCCATTCACTCTCCGTTTGCTCCACACAGACTGTGGAAAAGTTGGGAAAATATTGTCCTGCTTCCATTTAAGGTAGTGAACTCAGATTCTGAATATCTGAAATAAAGGTGATGGGATTACTGAGCAGTGTGTGGATGCATACTACTGAAATAGTTATCGCGTTATCTTCATTTGATTCGTCGACAGGACCCAAAGGTGTACAATTTTGTTAATCTACTTAGCAGTCTTTTTTATTTTTCATCAGGAGTGGAGCGTGATTACCTCGGAGTCTGCATAAAATATTAATGGGACATAAAACTGCAACAACACCGCTGCGTTTTATGGGTCTAGCAGGAAGGATTTCTCGAAAAAAACGAAATAATGTGTTTGTTTTGGTGGGGATTTTTCCAGATGAGCCCCCCCCCCCCCGGAGTGGAGCTCTGCTCAACTTGTTGTGCATCTTCAGGCTGGTCGCCCATCCAGGAAGAGAGCGTGGAAAAGAGCCTTCATATCTCCTGATTATGCTCA